TATTTCACCTGCAGCTTGGTTTTATGTAGATATATTCCACACTTATGCTGCCTCTCAGCCGTAATTTCTTTCAGACTTCTCATTCAGTGACTGAAATTCTGTTGCTTAGAATAGTGAGACACACTAGACTAGGACCACTGGATCAGTGGGGATTTGATGAGTAATTCCTCCATAGGTTCCTTTGATTTAAATGGGTCTACTTTAGTCCCAACTTGCTTTAACACAGTAAGTCGCAGCTAGTCGCCCATCTGAATCAATGGAGTTCATGCAGGAATTGACTCACGAAATCCCCTCTGATTTAATGGACCTACTCTAGTGTGACTTACTATACTAGGCAACAGGATTACAACAACTATAGATGTTCTGCCTCTCAGACCTACCTAGCATTCAATGCAATCACTGACTAGCACCTGAAACAGCTCATGCTCTCTTTTACTATGCAACTCTGGACTTGCATTGGGACCTCTGATTTCTGGGTCAGTTTGCCCTAGATCAAATAATGAAATCACCACCCTTAATCTTCCAATTTGTTATCAGTTGTACTTATAAATGCACATACAGTAACTGAATCCATACAACCAAAATGTAGAAGCAAATTATTATAAAAGTTAATATATTCACGAAGGCAAATATTATAAAAGTTGAAAATGGCTATGATATTTACATACCACTTTTTAAAAGTCAGCAGCAATATAATGTTAAAAAATAACTTTAAAATTAAAAGAGCAATGAAGCTTCTCTGGAAGTCCTATCCTGCACAATTTGCTAATTTCTACTACATTCATTTTTTAAAAAAATATATAAATGTCAGATAAAACAAAGACTGAAATCATCTTGCTTAGCATAGGAAGTCACAACTAGAGCAGGCCTACTGAATCAGTGGTGATATGGTGTATCAATTCCTCCATGAGCTCCCTTGATTCAATGGGCCTATTCTACTCAAAACCTACTACTATAGGCAATAGGATTTCAGTGCAAGAATACTATTGCCTATACTTCAGCATTGTATAGAGAATATAGAATCTAGCTGTTATTTTTTTTACAAGGAGAAAATTAATGATCCAGTAAAAGAACAGCACGGTGCTGTTCAATAAGCTCATACATTTGCAGTATTTTACTAGAACTCAAAAGGACATGATGTGAAAAATTAAATAATGGGTCAGAATGTATTATTTATGTAATTCTCCAAAGAGATGCAAGTTTTAATGCTATGCAGACTATATCACCCTGATACACAATTCATAATTCAATGAACTACTGGGGAAATGTTGGTTTTGAAGCCTGACTAAGAGAAAGAGAAAGAGAGAGCAAACAACCATATAAATTACACCTCAGTTCAGAACAAGGTCAGGAAATATATGACCTCATAATTACAGAGCTGCAAGTCACCTCAGTCCCTGCCAGTACAGACAATGGTGAGTAATAACGAAAACTCTAGTCCCGAGGTCAGGAAATATATGACCTCATAATTACTGAGCTGCAAGTCACCTCAGTCCTTGCCTAGTCACACAGCATCTGGAGGGACATACAGCAACACTACCTGAGCAATTCTGTATAAGTGAATTCTCAGCCTATGATGACCCTTTCCAAAGTTTTCCAGGCAGAGAACACTCAGAAGTAGTTTATCAGTCACTTCTTCTGGAGGTGTCTTTGGACTGCGTAGCTTGCCCAAGGTCACACAGACTGGGTTTTCTCCCAGGAGGCACAGCGGGAAATCAAACTTCAAACTTCTGGCTCCACTCCCAGATACCTAACTCACTGAACTATGCAGCCAGCTTTAAATATCATCTAGGCATATACAATTTAAGAGTGTTTCTGTTCCTATTTCATTCTTCAAGTATGTAGAACACTAATGGGCAACTGTGAATTGTCTTTGGATCTATTTCATTCTTCAAGTATGTAGAACACTGTGAATTGTCTTTGGACTACATATCAAATGGTCCAAAACAGGCCAACCAATAGTGAGGGATTATGCTGCAGTTCAAAAACACTTGGAGTCCAGTGATTGCCCACTCATGGTATAGAAGCACATATCTACATAAACACGATATCCACATGTGAGTCTTCAGTGTAAATTAACCATTTTAACATTTCCATAAAGAAGGGCACTGTTCTATGCTACAGAATATGTTCTGTACTGTATAAGGTCTCTAATTCAACTCTCCATATCTTCACCAAAGAAATGTCAAGTTGATGGGACTGAAAAATTCCACCCAAGTCTCTAAAGACTTGCTGTCATTCAAAGGAAGCCACTTCATATAAGACATTGTCTTATCCCTGTTACAGAGAAGGAGCTAAGAGTCTGCCAAGACATATATAATTATAACAATAAAGTTGAATTTGGAAATGTGGTCATTATGTGTTTTCAAATATTCAGTCTTCCCTAGACCTAGTTCATGACCCTCATGCTTTATTTCTTATGGATTTTGGTTCATAAACCAAAAATTACGTAAACTGGTGCGTTCACAAACTGAGGTACAGTACTACTGTACAAAGACAGCAGTCAAAAGATTGGAAAAGTTGAAAAAAATAATGTTTCCAAGTTCTGTGGGGCCCTTTCTATGACTATCCGTCATCTTCAAAGAAGAAACAAAGTCTGAATGGGGTTTATAGCATAGCTACACCACTAGTTTAGTCTGCAGCTATCCAAAGGATAGCACATAGAAAGCCAAGAGGATTTATGGAGTGGGGAGGTCTTTTTTTCAAATCCCATTGTGCCACACCTCCTCAATTTGTAATTATCCAAACAATAGGCTACAGAAAATACAAACAGCCAAGTGCCTCATTGCTGCAGTGCAATTAACATCAATGCAGTTAGTCCATTTTGGAGACAGTTACTTTGTGATCTATCAGCGGGACCCCTCCTTCCTGGATGTTTTATCATTTTTGTTACAAAATCTGAGTGATCTGGGTCACTACCAGTTGCGCTCTCTCTCTCTACATATACATATCTGTGTGTGTGTGTGTGTGTATACACATACACACATACACACACACACACACTGCATATAACTGGCTACCTAAAACATACCTAACAACTTGTTCACAGGTCAAGGTGAAAGTCTTGTAATTACTGCTCAGCTTGACTATTGATGTAACCATTGAAAATGAATTAGCATTTGGAATCTTGATGATTACTGCTCAGCTTGACTATTGATGTAACAATTGAAAATGAATTAGCGTTTGGAATCTTGATGGTTGTGATAAAACTGTGTTGGAACAACCATAAACCAGCTTTTCTGGAACTGTGGGAACAAGTCTTTATAAGAAATAAATAAATAAATAAATAAACTGTGTTGGAACAGCCATAAACCAGCTTTTCTGGTACTGTGGGGACAAGTCTTTATAACAGCAGAATATTTGCTTTAATCCGTGCTTGTTACTGACTTTGTTTTTCTATTGTATGGCATTGTAATACAAGCTGCATAGTGATCCTGTTCTGGAGCTTAAAGGCAGGATATAAGCTATTTTATAAATAAATGAATAAAACTAGTCCAGACAGCAGAGAGAATTTTGTATGATGTATAAATAATGAGCTTACAGACCTTTTATATCATGAAGAAACATCTCACCATCTAGCTGTGACAGGTGGGAGGAAATGCTCCTCATCCTTTCTGTTCACCTTCCTGGAATTCTGTCTTTAGAATTCTACCAATAATTCAGCTCATCTGTACCATTTGATTCCACCATAATAATGTGCCTCACGATGGGTCATCTGGTTCAGTACTGTTGACAATGGCAGACAACAGCCCTGCAGGGCTTCAGGCATCTAACTGAAGATTTTAGAGATTAAATATGGGCGCTATAGCATGTCATTGCATGTTTTACTCCTGAGCTATGCTCTTTCCTTCCTCCAGCCATGAATCTCATGTTTGGAAGGAGATGCCACCATATCATACTTGTGGGGCAGGTTATACATGTTCATACCTTTGTTGTACTGAATTTGCTGCTGTGATACTAGGGAGAAAAAAAACACCTTTAAACCTTGTTTACAAACAAAAAGATACTCCTAGAAGTACAGTTCCAGTTTTAATGAGGAGCATGCCTCTCACTGTGTAAACAAACTCTTTTCTGCTTCTCCTCACCCCCCCCACCCCCAATTCAATAGAGCGATCAGCAAAACAAGCTGGAGGTTTCTAATGGGGTCGGGAGGTGACAATAACATCCAGATGTTGCCCATTCTTGTTTTTAAAAGGATAGCAACAAGAAGCATGAAGTCCAATTCTGAAGAGCACTGACTGCCCTTACACATTAGCTGGAACAGTGCTAGGAATGATGGGTGGAAGGAAGAGCCATGGCTACGGCAACTGCTGCTGTTCCCTGCAACGAGGCAATGAGAAGTGGCCAACAAGACTCCCCTATCTTCTAAAACTGCACTCCACACAAAACAAGTAGCTAACTGAGTTACTGAATCAGTTACTTTTAGCATCTGACTCATACCTGACTCTCGAAAGGGCACTTTTCTAAGTAACTCTGGCCTGGCAACTTTGCACCCTTACTTTAGCTCTCTATGTGGTTTTATTCCACATGAACAATAACATTCAATCCAGCTTCCTTTGTTCTTCTGAATCATAGTTAAGTGATGAAATGAACTTAGCCACTGAATTCCCACCAAATAGTACCTCTCAAGAATAACACAGACAGAGGTTGGGTTGAGGACTGTTTGCCAGAGTCAAGGTCAAGATGGCTCACCTGCCCATTGCAAATATAGCAACCTAAAAGACTTCATCAAGCCCATGGGATGAAAAGCAGTATTAAAATTTAGAAAATAAAATAAATGTCTACCAAAGACACCATCTTAGGTCAACCACAAAAATGTATCATTAAAACTTAGAACATGTTCAAATATTTAGAATAATCCTCATTTTCCTGTTAAAATCAAAAATGTAACTAGCCCAAAGTCAATGTCTGAATTAAGCTTAAAAACTAAAAAACATTACTACTAAATAAAAACTGGAATGAGTACATGCACATTCAGGAAGCAGACCATTGAAACTTACCTTTATTGGAGCAGTGCTAAACTTAATTTTTCTCTTTGCTGGGATTTCATCTTCTTCCGGCAATCCAGTAATTTCAGAACTTCCTGTGTCAGGTTCATAACAATAATTTTCATCACTGTCTTCCTGATCATCTTGTTCTGTTCCTGTCTCCCCCCAGTCAGAACTGTATCTTGATCGTACCCTGTAAACGTTGTAATCAGAGTGCATATACACATGAGAACTCTGAAAGTTATTCAGGTCTTCCTGTGCTTCCTTTCCATTTGTATTTTTGCAGTGGGAGCCGACAGAATGTGAAGTTTCAGCAACTGCAATGTCATCACCAGCTATTAAGTTTCCTGATACTTCCGCAGTTTCACCTCCATCTGAGAACTGTTTTTGCTGTGAAGACGTTACTTCAGGTTCTGTGTCTGCCTTATTCTTCATAAAGGTCTCACCCGCACTCTGCCTGTCAAGCCCATCTGTTGGTTCTTGCTGAGTTGTTTCATGTGTGTCGACAGATTCATAACAGGTACCCTTATTTTGTATTCCACTTGTTTTTAAAATAGGTGAAGAGCTTTTAGAAACATCATTAACCAATGATGACTTACTGCTCACTTCCTGAGAATTCTCAACAGATGCTGTAGCAGTGCTTTGTTCGGCTACTGGAGGCCAAGCACTGGCATCTTTTATGGGGCTAAAATTATCAAGGTTTGAAACAGTGGAAGACAAATCTGTCTCAACTGAAGAAAGGTTTAATGGATAGTGACCAGTTACAGAGTACTCTTCATCATTCTGAGCCTTTTCCAGGACATTTTTTTGTGAATCAGTATTTTCAAAGACGGCACTAAGTTGACTCACCGTTGGAGAAACAGCCTCTGTCCTTGAACTAAGACTGTCCAGTGAATCTGAACTTCCTCTGTTAGACTTAGAACTGCACAATTCATCTTGAAGTTCATTATTAGAAACTGACCTCTCTTTCTTTGGGGAGTAGCGATTGGAATGCCCTGGTTCACGGGTATTTCTTTCGAACAACTTCCGTGTTTCGGTAAATTTGGAATAAGAGGGACCATCATGCATAGCATCAAACCTACTAATCCTTTCAGAAACTGAAGACTCTAATTTCACAACTGACCCATCTCCCTTCTCCACAAACTCTTTAGGTCTAATTCTTCTTTGAGGGGATACAGGGCCACCTTTACCTCTGGTTTTTGCCATGCTACCAGCATTCTCATTGGGCTCCATGCCCATTTGCATGAATAAATTTTTAATCCTGTTGACATTAGATCCATATTTCCTTCCCCTGGTTTGCTGAGAAGCCTCTCCTTCTTCTGTTGTCTTTTGTTCGCCATCTGACTTAGGCTTGTCAAAGGTGCTTTTCAATGCCTGGAACTCAGTTCTATAAGCATTCCTGTGAGGAGAGGCACTTCGGAGGGTTGATCTTTCCCCTGAACACTCAGTCTTCATCATGTTTATTTTCGGAATGTTAAACCAACAGACATAGTGGCTGCTGTACCCAAACAATTCCTGTTGAGATTGTGGGAAATGCTTAAAGGAAGCTAGATTTTGCCAAGGCCATGCTCACAGGTAGACAGACAATCCTCCAGACGCGGCCCACGACAAAACAAAATTCCAAATGGAAAACAGGGTTACTTCCAAAAGAAAATGTTGACTGCACCTGCAATACAAAGAAGCAGCTTCATTACATTGTGGGTTTTAAACTTGTCATCCTTGTTTAATTTTTATATCAATTTTATAACAATTCTTCCTATAAAAGGGAAACAGTTATAATAGGAAGGCATCTGGTGTCATTTCACCTCTCAATTTCATCTCTCAATAAAGCACATTGATCCTGGCAATGATGTAGGTGAGGTATGACCTGGGAAGCCCAATGACACTTATTTCCAGCTGTCTGGAAGGGGGAAGGGGTAAAGAAAAGGAATAAATAATGGGACTATTTCAAGTCTTAATTACTATATGACAACATGGTCACCTGCAGTAGATTCAGAATTTAAGCCAAGGCAAAAGCAGGATTCTACCCGATTTCGGTATCCAGGCCCTAGGTATTAATTACAAAGATGTGAAATTAAGTGTGTTCCTGTCACAAATGAGTAATTATCTTGTTCCCAGATGTCCAAGATTAAGGGACACAGCTTTGAACAGAACCAAGTCCCAAACCTTTTTTTTTCTACCAGCTGGTTATTTGATAGCCTGTGAATAGCTCTACATAGCATATCATATAACAGCACAAAATCAGTGTAAGCAGGGGAAAACACATAACAATGATCCAGTCAGAAAAAGTTGATGAATATACAGTCCACCATGCATACTGTTTAAGATGTTACTCTCCACCCTTGAATCTTTTTTTTTGTGTTAAAGATAAAAAAAACATGCCAGTTATTGAAGCCTAAAACAGCACTACAGTGTAGATATATATTCCATTGCTAAAGTTTCCTTCCAATGATGACAAAGAGCCAGGTAACTAACATTTCTTTACCATGGAGATAGTGAAATGCAGCCATGAGTGACAGGTAGCACTTTGCAGTCACCACCAGCTTCATTTCCAGACCACACCACCAGCAAATGGCCAAATTAATACACCGGCTTGCAGAAACTGGGGGAAGGAGTATAAGGGGGAAAAATCGCATGCAATGCCATTTAAAACTCGCAGAAAGCAAATAATTTGATACGAGCAAGACTTGCCTGGTCCCTCTCTGGTACATTCAGCGCGACAAAGCACCGTAAACGGTACAATGAAACAAGGAAGGGGGGAGAAAGAGGGGTTTAAAGAAGAACGAAACGTTCGATGCAGGCTTGACCTCTCAATTTCCCAGCCTGGATGTCAACGCCATTGGTACATCCCATGCATTTGTATGAATTCTGAGGGTCCCCGTCTCCTGCAGAGGAAGAAACGGGAGCTGGCAGTTGTCCCTCGGCGTCGTTGTGAGAGTGGACGAGGAGGAGGAGGAAGCGGGTTTCTCTCCCCGCCTTAGCAAGCAGCCCTGAAGAAACGATCCAGAAGAGGAGCGCATGACTAATAATAATAATAAAGGGGAGCAAAATCTCTCATTCGCGCCCTTCTGTGGCTGCCGCCGCCGCCGCGGCTAGGCTATAACTTCGCCGCAGCTACGAGCTCCTCAAGGGACCCCCGCCGCACACATGTGGGCTTGCTCGGATCCTGCCTGCCTACCTTCCAGCCCGGACTGGGCTCTTCCTCCCCTGACTCCCGTCCACCCCGCAACCCCCGCCCGCCGGGATTGTGTGTGTGTTTGTATGTGTGTGTGTGAGAGAGAGAGAGAAAGAGAGAGATTAGGAGCCTCGCGCGCCCGTATTGCGTCTCTCTTCGCCCGCCTTGACGACTAAGCGCCGCTTTGCTCCTAAGCAACATTCGGGGGGGTGTGGGGGGGGTAGGGATGGCGGCTCATGCCCACCCCAAATCCCTTCTCTCCAGAGCGGAGCGCCCGCCCGCCTTTCCCTCCCTCTCATTTCTCTCTCAACCGTGGCGGGGTGTGTGGGTGTGTGTGTGTGTGTGGAAACGGGCGGGCGAGGGAGGGAGAGGTAATGACAACCGAGAAGCGAGAGGAGACCTGGAGCGTGGAAAGAGCCCTTTGCAAACCCTCACGAAGGGAGGGAAGAATGTGTAATAGGTGTATTTTGCACCTTTTGCAAACCCTCACGAAGGGAAGGAAGAATGTGCAATAGGTGTATTTTGCACAAGCCGTGCAAAAGGGAAGGGTGAAAAAAAATAAAAAGACACCCAGAGAGGAAGTCTCTCAGAGGTGACACGAGCAGCAGCGAGCGAGGAAGTGAGAGTGGTGTGTGTGTGTGACAATGAATCTTTCGTGCTTTCTTTTTCTCTCCTCACGCCCCTCACCCGTGGCGGGAAATTGTCGCCCAAGGTAACCGCTGGTGCCCCCCTCGAAAGGCAAAGCCGCGGCCGCCACGCTCCCCGGGCGGGAGGGAAAGAGCACCTTGCAACAGGAGGGCGAGCGGCGGCGGCGCCTGTATAAGAATGCAGAGGACCGTGCAAGGGAACAGCAGCAGGGCAGGCGGTGCTCCAAAGCCCCGCCAGGAACCACCCGCTTGGGGGAACCAGTCGGAACAAAAGCTGCC